CTCTCTCTCTCTCTCTCTCTCTCTCTCTTTCTCTCTTTCTCGTGTTAATTGTTTCACGTATTTTATTTCTCTACCTTGACGTTCCTTTCTCTTGCTTTCCGGATCTCTTTTATTTCTCGCAAGACGATTCGACGAGATCTCGAACTTTGTCGAAATTTTCATAGCTTTAAAAAAAATATAAACGGAGGAACATACGAAAGAGATTATGCGAAGGAGAATAAGAGAAAAAGAGATGCAAGAAAAAGAAAGACGACGAAAGGATATATGAAAGAGATAAAGAAAAGGGAATAGCAAAATGTCAATATTCGACTATGCGAACACGCAGGTGCAATACGTACTACTAATACGAAATGCGAAAAAAGAAAAGAAATCTAACAAAAAAAAAGAAAAGGAATAAAGTGAAAGAAAAATACTTGCATACGCAATTTGCATAGTAAATACGTTTTTTCGCATGATCATCAATTGTTACAATAGTTAATCGTCATCGGTGCCAAGCACCGATCACTCGCGTACCATTAACTAATTATGTGTATACGCAGGAGCAGCGAAAGACCGAGTTGTCGATGTCGATACTTCTTTTTTTTTTCCAAAATTTTTTTTAACGCCATTACTTACGAAACTCCCCTCGTTTTAGCGGCTTTATTTCGCAATCGCACGTTAAAAAAGTGGGGAAAAGAAAAACATTTTTTTCGACGATCTTTTAAACTGATCCCAAATTTTATTTTGGTATCGGACATGGACTTTTTTACGAAAAAATTTCAAAAACTTCGATGAAACTTCAGCACAATCGTGATTTGACTGTTTTTTTTTATTTATTTTTTTTTTCGATCGAACAATCGCCGTCCTTCGACTCGCTCTTCGCTGACTTTCGGACTAGATGCAAGTTATGGCGGAACCAGGTTCCTAATAGTAATTTAGGGAGTGGGGAGAGTGAAAGATTTTTTTTTCATCTCATATATTTTGTGACTGACGAGTGGTCTCGGCGGCGCGAGTTATGGTCGTGGCCGAATCGGCAGCTCCCAAAGATCACCAGGATATATCGTTATACTTTTTTTTTTTCCTAATTTTAAATAATATATTATATCACCATCCGCGGACGTCGGCCACGACACGGGCCCGCGCGAACGCCCGAGGGTGTTCTGTTTTCATTTTCACTTTTTTATATAATAAAACTTACAAATAAAACCACTCGATGACTCTTATCATTTTATTTCCAAACACCGTTTTTCTCTGTTCTTTTTTTAAAATTTATATCCCCCCCCCCCAATGAAATCCTCTAACCCCTGTCACGCATTTCTAATTTTTTTAACTTTTTTTCCGACAAACGTTTCAAGGGTCATCGTCATTGCTCCATGCGGGTAGCGGATCATGAATCAAGAAAATGATATATTATCAAGAAATCGACGGATCTTATCGAAATTTTAGAAGAAAAAAATTTTTTTCTTCTTTTCAAATTTGTGGATGACGTTTTTTTTTTTTCGGAAAATTATTATTTTCAGAAGAAACGAATGAGAGGAAGCTGAAGAGGAAGGATTGACAGACGATGTGAGATGAAGAAAAAAAAAAAAGAAAATTTATGCTCGTTGTGGGAAATTTTCTAAAATTTCATACCACGTGCTCTTATTTCTTGACTGCGCACTTACGTCATACGGAACGTTCCATGGAATTCTATGCGATTAGTGATTCGATGCAATAAAGTCGTGCAACGAACGTTTGTCTTGAAGGAGACGAAGATAAAAGGAAAGAAAAAGAAAAAATTAATAACGTCAAATTATCCATCGTCGCAGGAAGTTACGATTTTCGTCGAATATCGAATCAGTAAGGATTTCAAGAGTAAAGAAATTAAACTCGTAATTGATTATCACGAGTATCCGTAAATTTTCCTTGGCCTCCTGAAAGCTATAGTACCTTCGCGCTAACTGCGGCAAAGTCTTGAAATCGAATCAGTGTCACTCGGTAACTTTGGCGAACAAGGTCAACGGGATAAAAAAAACAGGTGACTATCGTCATTATATACCCGGGAGAAAACATTCTCGCGTAACCGCGATAATTAGTCATCGATTAACTGACATTACCAAGAACTGCACCGATTGGACAAAAATTTATTTAATAATAAAATTCGATATTTTCGTAAAACGGCTTTGCCATAAATTTTAATTTTCTTCTACGATTTTATTATTTTTGTTTACGTCAATCTTTTTTCTTTAATTCTTTTTTCTTTATCTTTAAATCTTTACTATCCCATTCACGATCAGCATTGCCTATTATTTTTTCTTTATTCAATTATTCGACTTTTCTACTTTCTTGCCCCTTGCAATTTACTCCATTCTTTTCTATTCCAGTCTTCTCTCTTATTATTTCTCCTTTAGATTTCTCCTCTCGTCCGGTCTCTTCTCTTCTCTTCTCTTCTCTTCTCTTCTCTTCTCTTACCAAGAGAGCCCTTGCTTGTCCTCCTCCCGAATCCAGTCAGACCGGTTCGGTCGGGGCGTTAGATTTTCGCGTGATCGCACTTTCGGTTTCGGAATATTCTGTCCTTGGAACGAGTCTCGGCGCTGCCAACCTCAGCGACGCGATACGCGACGCCCGGGATCGGGATCGACGATCCAAAGGAACAAGATCACGTTTCCACTGATTATTTCGTGAGCCTTGTTTCCATTTTATTGGTATAATTATTTTTCGGCCCTTTCACCCTTTTTTGTCTATTGCGTCGTCGAGCAAGTTACTCATCGATCGTAATTCTATTTTATTCACACGAATCGACCGGACTTGGTTATTTTGATGAAAATTTGAAAAAAAAAAAAATTCAAATCAAATTCACGTCACGTATTCGTCTTACCATGTAGATTGTACGTTGCGGCATGTCGATTCATAGAAACGATTTTGGTACTATGCTAGAGACTATCGTGTGCGATTCTTTGTGAATAGATAACGAAATTTGAATTTGCTTAGGGGAATTATGGGTAATTGAAATTTTTTCAAAAAATTTCAAAGAAATATACGTTATTTCTTCTAAGTGTATCTTGATGACTTCAAGGTGCAATGTTTTTTTTTGGCTTTTTTTTCTAATATCTTTCCAGTGCTTCTTTTTTCTATTTTAGAGAACGTCTACTATATTTTACATTAAAATCAGACGAGTACCAACCTAAGCGACGTAAATTGGTGGTCCGCACGTCGTCCAATTATCGGGACGCCGAGACGCCGGCGGACTGAATGTATCCTTTGTTGTATAAGAATTTAAGAAGTTGATGACTTAACGAGTGTGCATACAATGATCTCCCAATGTCGTCGTTGACGTCGATATGAGTTTTCTTTCTCTTTGGAAATTAAAAAAAAAGAAAATTATACCCTTAAAAAGATTATTGTTCATTGCCAATATTTTTTTGCCAAGGGTAATACGTGGTGACTCAATGGAAATCAATAAAAAATCATTTATTATCATTGGCAAAGGCGCATCGACAATGGAACCTGTGTTACGGGTATGCACGTGATCGAATAGAATTTTAAGATTACAAGGTCAAGCCTATTTAATGAAGAATCACGTCACGTTGAAGGACAAGAAAAAAGACTGTAAAAATTTTCAAAAAGAAAAGAAAGCGAGAAATAAGAATGAAAGGAGACAAATCGTCGAAAAAAAAAAGATTTCTCATCGTACGACGCTCATCGAACGATATCAATTTTTTGAGAGCAAGACGACATAATAAAAAAATTTATTAATTCGACTCAAAATTCGACTGTGATAAGAATATGCGAAACGAAAGATTCCGCGGTAAGACTGAAAATGAAAAAAAAAAAAGCGTCGAGTACGTCGCAAAAAAAAGTCACGCAAAAAAATCGTATTCTACGCACAATTGGCAAAATTGTAAATTCCAAATAAAAAAAAAAAGAACACTATTGGCCGATCCATGAAACATTCCTCCAGCAATTGGATTCCCGTTCTCTTTGTGTGTGGCTACGTTTATTTTTCACAAAATCATTGACGTCATCGAATCAAACACGTCACAAATATCAAGAGCGGTCAAAAACTGCTATTGCTATCGATCATTCGTTAAGTAATGCAATGGTGGGTGGTAAAAAGAGATAAATAATTAATTTTACCCAGATCAAAAAAAAATTCAAAAATTTATCTTACCACTCTGTCACCGATGGTTTTTAATTTTATTTTTTATTCAACTGTGACTACTCGCTGTACGATCGGCACTGTGCGCGTACAATTTTGCCGGAATCAAACTAATTGATAATCTTCTGATTCGCGTGCATGAAATAAAAAAATGTATCAAGAGAGTCGCGTTATGACTCTCGTTGGATTTAGAACGACTGATAGATTTATCTGATAGGTGTTATAACCGTGGTCGGGAAAAACGTAAAACGTGACTGCATTCTTCTAACTATAAGCTTTATGCTTATATAGGCGTATATATATATATAGATATATATATATATATATAAATATATACGCAAATATGTACAGTACGATAGGTTAAGTAGGTATGCATATCGAGGGCATCTCGACATCGTGCGGACCACTGATATCCTGCAGGGTTCAGATACGCTCGTTGGAGGAACGGTAAATTTAAAAAAAAAAAAAATCGAAAAAATTATAAAAAATAGAAAATAAAAAAATAACGTAGAGGGACTGGGGTCCTCGAATTGCGAAGTGGAAATTACGTCTAGTAACGTCGAGTTTTTACGGATTCGAATTTATTCTCGACGAATCTCTTCGATTTACATTTTTTACATTTTTTTGCTTTTAATTCGCGCTCACAATCCTGGCGAATATTTTTCAATTCGAAAGCTAATATGATAGCTGTTATGAGCTGACAAGCACCTATGATTCTAATCATAAATGTAGATTCTCCTTGAAACACGTGTGGACGATTTGGATTCGAATTTTGAATTCATTATACACTGATTTTTTAAAATTTTGATTTTTTTATAAATATTTTTTTTGACCAACATTCATCTCTTACAGTCAAAATGTAGAATTCGGTATGGTAACTTCAAAAATGTGTATACTTTTCGAATTTGCATAACGCACCGTTTGTTTTTATAAATAGACGTCTGAAAGAAATTAACCCAAGGACGTCACTTGCCAAAATTTCGCCATTAAATGAATACGCCACACAAAAAAATGAAGGAAAAAAAATTTGCATGGTTATTAAAGTGGATAAATATTTTTTATGGAATAAAAATTAAAACAAACAACAGAACTGGCGTCGGCGAATTAATCTCGAAGGAATTTTCAAAATTGATAAAAACCCACTGCATAACGTTAACGTGGCTCCCGACGAGCGGAACTTTAATGGGGTACAAAAACGAAGTAGTCTCGAAGCGCAAAGTACACTTACCTTAGGGCAAATAGCATCCGCAATTACGTAGCCCGCGGCTGTGAAATTATGGTAAACGTCCGGTAAACGAATCATTAATGTCAAGCTGGATAAGATCAATTCGAAGTAAAAAAAAAATCAATACCGGATAACGAACAAAGCTTGTTCGACGGAGAAAAATATTTTTTTTTCCGAAACAAGTAAAAATAAAAATTTCACAAAACATGTTTAAAAAAACGGCTACCGGGGTGACGTCGTAAATCGAGAAAATCCGCTTTTTCGAATTGGTCGCTTGAAAAGAAAGTGGCTCCTTTTACAAAAGAATTTTTTGTTCCCCTCAACAACCGATAAACGTGATCAGACTTACTTGTCCCAATGTAAATTTGCCTTTGTTGTCGCGCAAACACATGCCAAACGCAGTATGCATTGAATTGCCCGAGGCGCGTCATTTCAAATAAAACTATTTATTAAGAAGCATGATTCGCTGGACGGATCGTCCTGTGAATTAGCCTTAAGAAATTCTGTAAAGCATGTCTCCTCTCCATCGATATCGATTGGCACGCAGTGTGAGTGCACCTTAAATTATAGAGTACAGTCCCAATGAGACAAGAACGATCCTATGCACGAGTTATGTTGTTTTTTATCGATCCTACGTGAAAAGGAGATAGCACGCGATTGAGATCCTCGTAAAAAAGCTAAAAAACAAATATTTAAAAAAAGATGTCGCATCAAAAAAAAATTGAAGAAACTCGTTAATATAATTAACAAAAATTATTATTAGCCACAATTTTATTTCCGTGGTGTACCTAAAATTGTGGGTACAATTGTTTCGTTGATGTCATTGCGTTCTTACGAGGCCAAAAGATTTCCATAGCTAAATCCTGGTGGGCAAGTTTTTATTGACGCGATGTAAGCGACGTGGCTGTGAAGAAAATTCGTTATTTAGATTATACAAGACGATCAACGAAGTGGAATCTATCTACGAGGGTAGCCTTGAAAATGTTTTGCGAGGGACGATACTATCGGGTATGTATAAGATTTGGAAGTGGAGGTCTGCAGCGCTACCGTCGTCAGGCTGAGAAACTGCTATAAGTTATAGGCTATAACGTGTTGTCGGGCAAGTGCACAAGGTGCATGTCCTTAGTCTGCTAGAAATCTGGCAGCTGCTTCTTTTGGGTCCAGAACCTGATCGCTGGACGTTGTATAGGATCAGCTACGAGCTACGACGTGGATGAAGACGAAGAGGAAGAAGTGTACTAAGAAAAAAAAATAAAAAAGAGGGACGAGGATGGGACTGATGAGAAAGTGGCAGCGAGGGCAGCAAGGCCCAGAAAGAGGAATCAGGGTGATTAGGGAGATGCAGGAGTTTGAAAAGGGTGTATCGTGAGCGCCGTGTGGAATGATGGATCACGCATGCCGGTAGACGAAGTAGTTGCGGAGGGCCCCGAGAAGATAAAGAATGCCGGAGAGACGGTGGGGGCGCAGTGGCTATGAGGCCCAAAAACCGGTGCACCGTCGCGGGAGCTGCAACGAGACGGAGCAGCAGCAGCTACAGAGCAGGAGCAGAGTCAGCAGCGTTAACAACACGGGAACGAAAGGGCCTTCTCGCCAGGTCCGCCACTGGGCCTCGAAGCTTCGAGGGTCCCAAACCATCGAGAGAGCCCCCGGGCATTAAGGCCCAAGTCTCGGACTCTTGCGTATATTCGCTCAGGCAACACCGAGCCCAAAGGAGATGATCTGTCGGCGCCGAGCAGCTTTGCTTGGCCTGTTAGAAACCGGAGAGGGGACTTACTAGGCCGTGGTGGGGGTAACGCCCTTGACTCGGACTCGGGAGTGGTGGGGGAGTGGGACCCCGTGGCCTTGAGTCCGGCCCGTCTCGTTGTTTAACAGCGTTTCTCAATCGACTTCACCTTGGCTTTTCGATCTTTATTATATTTTTGTGTTATGGATGGGAGAGCATCATTTTTTTTTACATTTTCGTATCATCGCCTTGCTCTTAACGAACTGTGACTTACAAAACGCTACGTGGACACGAGATCGGGCATAGACTGTGGCGTTATAGTTTGGAAATGCTACTGCCATATTATTTTATTTTTATGCCCTTCTCGGCAGGACCGTTTGAACTTTGGGGATCTGATGGGAATTGAAATTTGACAAAGCGGAAAATCTGTACTTGTCGCTCACCTTCTTGTAGAAGGTTATACGTTTTTGTTTTTGGCTTCTGTGTAAAGGCATTCACGAGAAGTGACGGAATGGCGTTTCCTCTACGGATTATTCGCGCAACGTTAAGAGGCTGAGATGTCGAGTTTTTGCCGATAGGAATCGCGCGGGTTCGTGTCGCGTCTCGCAATAATCGCCGTTGCGATTCATGAACGCGACGGTAACATAAGGAACGCCGGCTGCCGTCGCACCGAGCGCTTTGGACAAGGATGTAAGAATCCTGGAGAAGCGGATCCTGGAAGGATTCCGCATCTCAAGAATGTACCGCGACGGAACTTCACGGTAGCAATTTAACGCGTCACAGCCAGGATTTAAATATTACAGTAATCTTTAGTTTTTCGTACCTTATTTTTCAATCGGGCTGCTACGGAAGCGCGAAATAATTAACATCGCGGAACAACGACAAATGCGTAACCCGGATTCCTTGGATGGAAGATGTATTATTGAAAATTATTATATGCACTAATTTACCTAGGTTCTTGCGTTCTTTGCTAAATTTTTTGCATTTTCGAGATTTCATAAAGCGTAATAAAAATCATTAAACTTCCAAGTAATCGAGAGCATTGATTTATTATATATGTTAAATCAAGCTATAAATTCTTATCGAGCTAAAATACTGTGTACACTTCTGACTTCGTAAAATTCACAAAAAAAAATTAAAAAATTCGTAACTCCTCCCACCACCCCTCATCGATATTCGTAAATATCTCTCGCTCGAGGGCCTGAGTAAATGGAATTTTTTTTTTTCGAAAGTCCAATTCCACACAACATGGCACCACGATACGGCGTGGGTCGATGCAAAATCGAGGAAGTTGAGAACGGAACGCATGACGTTTCCACAGGGGCGTTTATAGTGAGGGCTCCGGGGCACCAACCAGTCCCATTTACACGCTAGTGCGAGTGAGTGAGTCTATTGCAGTGCGAGGGTGAAGAGAAGAAGTAAAATAACAGGAGTAAAAGGTGAGAAGAAGAAAGGAAGAGAATATTTACAGAAAGGGAGAAGTGACGCCATTGACGGTGGCGAAGATAGTCGCCGATACTCCGTAGCCAGGGACGTAGGAAGAAAGGGCTCCAAACGGGATACCTTAAAATATCAACGCACTGCCTTGGGCACCTTAACAAAGCGTGTACGGCACTGGCCATCCCGTAAGTAAGGATTGGATAAAGCGTCGAGAAGAGGAAAGAGCCTACCACTACCACTATCCACCACAACAATTCCTATATACGTACAGCGACAATCCGTGCACTGACGCAGCACTAAATTCCCTCTTAGATTTTTTTATTCGCCCCTGAAATACCGGCTGACAGTACCACTCGGAACGAACCAGTTAAATAAAAGATGTCGGAAGAGGAACGTATGTACATACAACTAATGTGCTTCAACACGCTGAACTTCCTTCCACTTGGCCTACTACTCTACTGATGGTAGCTGTGATGACTGCGATGCGAACAAGCCAGACTAACGTAAACCGAACTGTCTTTCGCTCTTTGGGAAGATGGGCTTTTTCTTTTTTACAGAAGACTTCCACTTCCTCCATCGGAACTTTGTTTTTCTTTCCCTGCCGTCTTTACGAGACGGGGATTCCCCTTCGGCCCTCCTGGCTACTTTTAACCAACAAAACGACACGAAATCCTTTTGGTTACGGCAGTTCTTAACCGGCGTCATTTGTTGCGTAACCGATCAGAAAACTAAATAAACACGACCGGCGAATTCTAATTCTCTTCGTAATCATCGTACTAAAGTTATGTATAGGTATTTTATTTCCGAGCTATGTCTACGCTGACATCACTTGCTACTATACTGCTTTGCACTTATACAATCTGGTTAATTCGTATCGCTCATTGTAATACGACTTTAAGATTTCGTTCGCCGGCACAGAGAGTGCGCCACTTGCTTACGTCCTATGCGAACGCTCCCTTTAAAATTCATTTCGGCTTTGGGGCTAATGCTTTTTATATCATCATTTTTTGTATCTCCACAATGAAATATAGGTATCCCTGCGCTCGCAAGAACTTGTCTGTACAAACGGGTGATCTGATTCTCATAATTTTTTTGCGTGAAAGACGTATCGTTTGTATTACTGGAAAAATTTATTTTCATTATTTAGGTGTTGTCAGAATTTTTGAAATTTTACGAGTCACTCGACTGATTTTCAAAATCTTTGCTTATCTTGTCTGCACAGTGATCTGCGACATGATCGAATTGATTAGTGATACGATCATTTACGAACACACAAGATTTATAACGTACGGAAAAGTACCCGTACAAACGGTCCTTTAAAGTGGCCTTCAAGAACACACGAGAGCTTCGTCGTAATCGCAGATACGATTGGTGTTTCGTTGTGCCAAGAAAAATTTTCGAACACAGTCCTTGCATCCTCGACAGTGCATCCAGCTACGAAGAAAGATCGGCAAAGGAAATACCAAAATAAACATTAAATCCACAATCATTGATTGAACTTCGTGAAAAGTAATTTCAGATAAATTCACGTCGGATAAAAAAGGGCGAGGTCCTTTATTCTCACTTCGTTACACATCGACCAATCTCGGATATATTCGCATACGAATACCCACCAGCCCGCCTATACAGACAGAGCGCGTAAATTCCAAGTAAAAAAAAACCTACCAAATATTCGCCAGCCACAATTCCCGAATCCCAAAGTGTCAACATTCTCTATAAACTTAACTGAACTTAAAAAAAAAACCTGAAAGAGTAAATAATCTGAAACAAAAAAAAACTGATAAATTTAAAAAAAAAATTTCCAAAAACCCATCCTCACCCATTTTTTGTTCGATACAACACGGAGGGACAAATAACGTTCAAGGAAATTCCGTCTCGAACAGCACAGACTGAGCTACGCCAATGAAATAGTGTCCGCCGACCTTCGAATCGAAGTCTGGCCGTTTTTGTGCTCCGTGGCTGCAGCCTGGGAAGGGGGTCAGGAACGGAGAGCAGTACGTGCGGGCCTGACGTGTATATACACAGATGGATAGAGGCACGTCAGTGTGTGAGTTCAGTGGAAAAGGGGATAAACGAGCCAAGAGAACGAGAAGAAATCCCTTTAGGAGGGGTGAGTAGAAAGAGACGAAGGCAGGGAATGATGGCGGTGCTCGTATAGGTACCTACTAGGTATATACGAGAGAGGGATGCTGGAAGAAAGAATGGTGGACCTTCCATGGTACCAGACTAATGCAGTTCTCGCATCGAACTCGTCCCGCCTCGGGAATATATTATTAGTATTCTATGAACTGAAAATCATTTCTCGCTCGAGAAAGCATTCATTGGCTTATCCGACTCATTCGCTCAAGATCAGGAGACTCGTTACGAAGAACATATCGGGTTACGTGGAAACACTTTTTTTTCTTCTTTGTTTTCTTACGAAATTTTTGTAAGTATTTTTCCTTCTTTTTCCCTGTCATCTTTTTTTCCCCTCTTGCGTATAGACCCTGCTGCTTATCGATTTACGACGCTCGCCCTTTGCCATTTTTTGTGTCTAGTCGACCTAAGCTTTAGGAACTTTTCTTTTCCTGTTGTTTTCATCCTGGATTTTAGTATGCTGCGTACTGTGTGAAACGGGATTTTTCAATGGACATATTATTCGCGGGTGTCAGTGACGTGAAATTTTTTATTTACTCGCTCGTTCGGGACGTTTCGGAGATACCGACTTTATGCGTAATTTCGACATTTTTATGTCATTTTCACACGTTGTGATAATATCGCCAGAATTGTGAATAGGATTTGCGTGATAATTAAACGACAGATTCTATCTGGATTATTGTGGAATACTTTGTAATTCGATCGATGTGAACGATTCGTACAATGAAAATGCACGAGGTTGCCAGAGATAATTTCTTCAATTAAATTTTGATATTTTCGACTCTTATGTTATTAATTAATGCGCGACCATTGGGTTCAAAGCAATAACTGCTGAATCTTTTTTCTGGACAATCCAGCATAAACGATCGTACTAATAATTTTAATTTATTACTACTTCATTTTTTTATTTTATTTTTTTCTCAAATTAAACCTTTTTCTTGTAGATTTAATTCGAATCCATCTCGATATGTTACCGTGTTTTATAAAATAGTCTTAGACTATTTCAAGCTAGTTTATATACATTTTCTTAAAAACAGACAGTAACGATTTCCAATGACTCAAGTGGTCCACAATGCGCACGCACGTATAAACTGCTTCGATTTGAATATGATTCGAATTTGAAAAAAAAAAAACCATAGCTCACAGTGAAGAAGAACGAAGTGAAGAATTGCTCATGACTTAAACAAAAATGTTTAAGCTTTATCTATTCGCATCTTAAACAATCGTATCTCGCGAGATGAATCACGATGCTTTTTATTTAAAATTTATATAAATTTTTTGTATCATGAAAGAATTTCGTTGGCATTCTCATCCCTTAAACCAGTTTACTCATCTTATGGATTATGCAAAAAGTTCTTTATGATTTTCAAAATTTCGCGAATACCTTTGTCTCCCCACCCCGTTACCACCCACCTACCCCCCGCACCAACCCTGAACCCCTGAACGATACGTACTACAGTGTGGCTTATGGAACAGCAGTATGAGAGAAGAATAAGAGAATTAAAGAAAGAAATAAAAACTTGTGAATCAAATGAACGTTTATGCGAATGTTTGAGTCAGCCTGGAGTCGCGTTAAACGAAAGTCGCCCGAATTATATCAGTTGGCGTCTTAAAGGCTTACTCACAGAAATTAGTAACCAACTAACGAGCAACGTACACGAAGAATCGAATCTACACGGTGTACGAGTTGTCTCGAAATTTTTTTAGTGAAAACAAAAAATCGATTGGCGATATAAAAAAAAATTTTTTACACAAGCAAAAAGTAAAAGTCAAAAAGTCAATACGAAATTTTCGCGCGACTCGCGTTGGATTCTTCGGCATAAATAGGTAGGTAAATTAGAAAATAAGTGCGAACGAAGTCTGGAAGTTATGCGAATATTTAGTATATCGGACATGATTATAAATCCGTTTAGCGGAAATGGTAGTCGTTTCACGCGCTGAAAACGTCCCTGATATTTGGGGTAGGGGATATATATGTATATCATATATATATATATATATCATATACATATATATATATCTATCTTTACGTGGCGAGGGGCCAACGATATAGACAATGGAGACACCTTTTGTCTGCAACGAATTGCAAAAGCAAATCATTTCGTGCGCATGCGCGAACGCGGCACGATTAATATTCGTTGTTCGTATAACAAAGAGATAAAAGAGACAGAGAAAAAAATGGGAAAGAGATATAATTTAAACAATAGAGATCACATCGACGGTCTATACGTATCCTTTTCGTCCATAAATCTTCGAATCCCTCGAGAATTAATTATTTGTTACCTGTAACACAACTGTTCAGTGTTAATCCCAGCCCCCCAGCCCTCTGGTGATAACGATAAATGCCACAAGTGACGAAAGAGATGAAAAAAACAAAGAAAGAGGGAAAAAACCGATTTAAATACGTTTGTTAAATGCATATTGTTATTATTATCACATAAGAGCTATTTAAATCCATAGCTTGGGCTGTCGCTCGGGACACGATACGTCTGCGTCAAAAATTTTTGTGACGTCATCGCTTCTATCGAGGTAGACATTTATTTTTTGAAAAAAAAAATTGAAAAAAAACTTGAAAGATTCTTCGTCGCAATTTTCAAAATTTCTTCTTATTCTTTATGCCGATCACAAACAATACTTACTGCAAGGAGTAGGGGGCGGGGGTCTAATTAATTTTGAAAAAAAAAATGATGACAATTCTTAAGTGATAAGCACGTTGGGTGAGAAGGAAGGGGCTGTAAATGAATTGTTTGTGATTTTCGCATAAGTATTATTGTCTTTCGTAGAAATTGGAATTTTGAATGACATTGCGATTGGTGCTTGTTGTAAATGTGGTACTTTGATGGAAAAAATGGCGAGTGACGTCGCAAAAATTAATGACAAGATTTATTGATGCCCGAATACGACATTGACAATGCCCATACATACGAAGTCTGTAATCGAAATGTTTTATATTTTTACACCGAACAAACAGTATATAACGTACAATAAACAATAAACATGTCCTTCCAATCGCAACCTCAAATAACAAATGTTATATTTTTATTTTTGCAATAACCCAATATCACATCCGATATCTGAGCTATACAGTAAACATATAGTGACACTTAGGATATTGGAATCGGCTAGGATTTCAGTTTTATTATCCGCAGGAATCACAAGCAATCTTACAGTCTCATCTGAAACACGACAATTTTTTGTGCAATCGTATAGAAAAGAGAAAGAGAGAGAGAAAGAGAGAGAGAGGAAAAAAAGTACCACGATATTTATCGATGTTACGGACATTTTGTGATCTGGACAAAAAATATCATGAATCGACTTTACGAACGCACGTCGGCCGTTACTTTATTACGTCATGACGGTTAACAGTCGTATTTTTGTTTTTGCTAAGCGCGCAATGATTTTCGAAGTGATTTTTATTTTTGAGTTTTATTTCGCATTTTTGTATTGTTTTTGGTTTAATTTGGTTTTCCATGTATTTTTGTTGTTGTTGTCTCTTGGGAATTCTTGTTCCTGAGTCTTACGGTCGGCGGTTAAATTTTTTTTTTCTCTTTTTCCCCAATAAATTTTATGGCAATATTATCAATGCAATAACTTACACGAAAAATTTCACTAGGATATTGTATGCATTACGTGCGTAATACGATCGTCGTCGATGTTTCTTTCGTCAACGACGCCGAACCGGATGAAAATACGAGAGAGAAATGAAATGAATGGAAGCATTTTTCTTCATCGTATTTAATTATATCGTATAAGTATCGAATCAAAAGGATATTATTAAAGGATAGGACCGTAGCGTGCGCAGTCGCGGACTGCTGCAACTTTTAACATTGTACCGATTGTTTTAATGTTTAAGAAACAAAAAAGGTGTATATATGTATGTATTATAGGTATACATATACAGAGGTTTCCACGTTATCGAAATTGTTTTTCAAATGCTTTCACCTACAATGGCAGCCATAAAACTCGTGCTTTTAAAACGTAGGGACGAAAAAGTGGTTAAGAACTTTTAAATTCAAATTCAACATTTTTATTGACTCGTTCGTGACGTAAACGCATTTTTATGGACGACAATGCATCTTTATGCAATTCGACAGCTGATTATAATTTGAGGATTCGTGACGTTCGAACGTACATTAAATAATTCATTATTATCGGCCGATCGATTCGAAAGAGCTGTCGGTAACTTATCGACTGATAGAAATTTCAGTTAAATGGAACAGGAAATAAAGTTAACGGTTTAAAAAAAAAATTTTAAATCGACGAAGTTTACACAATTTCAATTATGAAAAATACATAGAATGTTGGTCGGGGAAATGTATCGAAGATCAATATTAAAAAATTAATTAGGTTCATCGTGGGAACATATGTGGAGGCAATTTGCCGAATAAAATTAGAGCGATATTCAATTGGCGACAGAGAAACGTGACATCGGCGATACTCACGAAAAAAGGAAACCCGCGAACATACAAGTTGATCAAAAAAAATTTTCGCAAGGCTTCCTTTTATCGGTCGACTATTTCTGTACAATCTTACGCGAGTCTCCTTTTAATTTCTCAATTGCAAGTTTGTGACCCATTAATAAAAATTCGGTTAAACGGAACTAAGTGCGACAAGAAGAAGGAGAGGAATAAAGAAGTGAAAAAAAGTAAATAAAAATTAAATTGTAAGATTAGGTAAAAAAAAATGTTTAATTCTCGAAAATCGAGATGTACGAGCACGTGCCTAAGTGGGGGAAGCCTATGTATTCTGTGAATATGTAAATTAGCACTCGTCGTGCAAATCGCCATTTTGATTTCGTCGGGAATCGGGAAATCGTCGATACCACGCGAATTTCACGTGGTACCAGGGTTATGTTGCTGCCGTCACAAGCTTTGACAGCTGTGAAAAAAAATAAATAAAGATAATCGTGATTCAATTCCATGATTTTCATTGGAAGCGCAAGTGTTTGTACGACGCATGCGCAGTTACTTGGAAACCCCTATATATATATTTCAAAGACGTGTCCATGAAAAGAAAAGAGAAAAAAAATCGATGAGTGTTTTATGTGTACTAAAATGTTCCCTTTTATTCATACTAAGACTTCAAAAATCGTATTAAGTATTATACATTATTACTTGTATATAAATATGTGATACAAATATATATATATATATATATATATATCTATTTATTATAGTTTTTCGTTTGATATTCACTATTTATACGTGACGTTCTTTTTTCTCATCGTTTTCTTTAACGCGATATTTCACGAAAATAGATGCATACGATTTGTCTTCAGACACCGTCAAATGTTGACCACACGTTATTAAAGTTTATCAACTATTATTCATAAAACATTAACAAGAACAATTTTGTATTATCTCTTGTATACAATAGCCAGATACGTCCATTAAGGATTGTACGGAAACAAAAGATTCTTCTAGGCTCGTTTAGTTCGTTTGTCGTAAAAAAGATTGTGTGTTCAAATAAAGTTATGGAGAAAAGAAAAGAATGAAGCACGTAACGTGCGTAATTACGCCGCGTACTCATCGCACGAACATTTCGAACGGCGAATTGTGATGGCATTAGTATACATTATATATACTATTGTTTCTTTGTCGCATCATCGAAGGAAGCAAGCATGTGGTATAATTAAGCTCGATTAATTGATTTTATTCGTACGCAGATACACATAGCTAGATTCCATACGTCATTCGTTCAAGCGAGATTCACCGTCCCTGACGTTTTTTCCTATGATTCTGTCAACGGCTTTTTATAGTGTAAAATCAACTGAAAAGCAGTGCGCACGAAAGCGAGGGATCTTTTAAAATGACTCGTTCATATCTTGTAAAAAAAAAAGACACAAATAAACCCAACAAGAAAAAAATACCGGGAACGACCTGTTTCTTCTTGGAGGAAAATAAAGACTTGGTGAAAATCCAGAAAATTTCCATATTTTACTTTTTTATGTCTTACCTCACTCCTTCTCTTTATTTTAATGTATGCTATGCAGGTATTCATTAATTCCTGTCATCCATAATATTTGCATTTTTATTATTTTTGAACCACAGTCTATTTAATTAAGACTTTTGTGTCCGTTCGTAATATTCATTTTATGCGATTGTGCTATTCTTTATCAGGCATTTTCGTGCATTTTAACCGAAATTCAAGTATCTCCAACCTAAACGTCACATCATCTCATTTCAGTTTTGCAGCAGACAAAGATTGTCAAAAGTTTGTAAAACAAGAAATGCCATACAGTCTCATGTTATTTGTATAACAAAAAAATGTTTTTTTTTTTTTCATGTGCACAGAGGTATTGTACTGCAATTAAATTGCAAGATTTACTGGGCTAGAAACAATATTTTAACACTGTTTATTATTACTTCATTCAAATTTAATTTTTTTCAATGAACAATCTACTTATGAACCTATGCTTTCATCAGTTGTTACAGTTTTCATATTTTTCTCTCTTGTAAGCTTGTTCTGTGTCTCCTTTACCCTCAAGCTTGCGGAACTTTGAAGAATGCATAAATTTAAAAAGGCTAATGATTGAAGTAGCGCTTTCGACATTTGTTCTCGTTCGTATGCATTTTTCTGTCTAAAACAACTTTCGAGCTCAAAGCTCATGTTTACTGGCAATATGGGGAGTTTCGTCATGGGTGACGATTTGTTTAATAATGAATGGACGATATTTTCCGAGGAGACAATTTCTCCACCAATTTGTATATTGAAAAGACGAGAGGTAACTCGTGGTTTTAAGAGAAAAAGTTTATTTTTCAACGCCTCCGATGGTTCATTGGTACCGTTACCTAAAATTAAATTAATATTTTATGACATGATATGGAACTTTTAAACTTTGCGCTAATTAATATTTTCACATGGGTATTTTAGTGGGAATCTATAAGAATATTGAAGGTTTTTTTCTTACTATAACATACCTTTTGCATACGCCTCTCGATATCCAAGAATTGATATTAATGATGCAGTCAATTGATGCCTTTGCATTGTTGCGCGGTAAGTTGGGAAATTCATGTTATTTTGAATAATGACCTGTGAAGACTTAAGCAGAAAGATATCTGAATTCGGTATACTGTAACTCATTTTAAATGCCTGTAATAAAGTAATTCAGTTATTACTAGTTGATCAAAACCATTTAAGAATAGTTAATGTAATTTGTCAAACTTGACATTATACTTACGAAAGGAACCAGAGATGCAAGGTTAATGTTTTCAGGAATATCTGCAAAACTGCTGCTATCCCAGTTTAGTACAGTGGAGGTACGGTTCAACTGAGCCCAGCTTATTATATTCGCACCCACACACAAAGAAAGTATTGTGTTAACATTCTACAATGTCAGTCAAAATAATAGGGATGCTTATGAAACAAGAATATGGAAATACTGTTATAATTTCTTTGTATTACTCTTAAATAAGAAAAAACAAGGAAATTTGTGCATATCATCTATAATTACTTATAAATATATGAGAACTAATTTTTGATAAAAAATATTATCTATTTACTTCGCGTATCGTCTCAGACACTGTGGGAATGCTTAACGAGGATCTTTGTGATTCCTTGATTTTGTTACTTCCACCAGCAATGATAGATTTGTATAATTTTTTAACTATACTCATTGTCATTCCTTTTGCTAGTAATAGATCATCCAAGTTCTCATATGATCCAATTTTTGAACGAAGCTCTTGTATCCATTTTATCTGATTGCTTTTCATATTATGTCTGTATAACATAAAAATGTGTAAAGATCATGTATATTTTGAAATCCTTAAAAAATGTTAACATGATGTAAAAGTATTACTCGCGTAGCTGCTCTATCGTGTGTGTATTTAATACATCAAGTATTTGCTTCTCTTCTGCCACTGTATACTTCCACTTAGATTTTTGTGAATCTAGTACCTGGGATGAACTATCAAAATTATGTCTGCACAGTAACAGATGTGAATTGCATGATATATAACCCTGTAATATTGCAGAAGGAAATTATATTAAAATAATATAATACTAGCCTGATTACATAGTTGCTTGTTTTGCAATATAATACAATAAAATTGCTTACCATATTTGGTTGCTTATAAAGCAATATTATTTTTTTAATATTGTCTAAAATCATGGTATATTATTTAAAATGTAGTCAATTCTATCAATTTCAAGTAATTCAATAGCAACGAAATATTCAATTCATAAAAAGAATGGTTCCGAACTGATTTTCCTTATTTAAAAGTTTATATTCAGTCAAGAAGTCGTTAATATAGATAAATAGAACATAGTGAAGAGGTTATACTACAACGGATCACAGCTGATCAGACTGGAGCAGACGATGAAGCAGACAGTTCCGGAAAAACGAAAGTGGTGCAACTACACAAGATAATGGAACTACTTCGAAAATATTAAAATAATTCTTAATATTTGCAATTTTTGAATGAAGTAATGAAAATACTTATAATTTCATTGACTTAAGCATGCTAAACTAAATTTGTTTTATATTCTTATGAAACATCATTATATCATCGATGGACTAAAATTTATACTAATATTTGTGTATAAAATGCATATCTGTAGTATATTTTCATTATAAACAATTTACAGTAAATTCTTATTTCAATAACTTTACATCATACTGATCTAATATCACCAGTGGTATGTGACTTAATATAATAGATTTTGGCACATTTGAATATTTTGCAAATAGTTCCAAAAAGTGTAACGTCGTGATTCCTTCCGCTTCCCAATCGCTTGCGGTTTTTGAGCTGGCATAGAAAAAATATTATAATTTCGTGAAATTGCATATTAATATTTATATGATTAAACTGAATGTTATTTACCTTTCCACATTGACAAATAACATAATATATTCACAAAGTAGGGCTACATAACGATTCAAAGCAGACGTATGAAATTGTCGAAGAACCGTTTGCATTCCTATTGCAAAAGCTATAGCATCCACTGGATCCTGAACTTTTTTGCTTAATAAACCAGCTAAAATACAATATATAGAATAATGTTAAACAACAAAAAGTTGAACATAATAAAAATAACTTGAAGAAATTTGTTTAGCTCAGTACGTACCAATACTTTTGGAATAGTACAATTTGTGTACCTGCGTCACAGTAAACAGAAACATTATTATTTCGACGTCTGGAACATTTTTGGACTTTACATAAATCTTATTTTGCGGGTCACTAATACCCGCCCAGTCCAAACGGATACTGAGTTGTCGAAGCAACTCAGTTTCTCCTTCAGTTTGATATCCATTGTTTCTCTTATAAATTTCAGCAAGTACTGCTCTGTTAAATTTAAATTGCAGTTTCAGTAAAAGTATGGTCTAAATAGATCTATTTGATAGAAAAACCTTAATGCATACTGGTTTAGAGTTCTAAGTGCTGATTCCATGTGCTTAGCTTCAAATTTGCAAGCAGTATTCAAATCGTACGCTATTTTATTTCTTAATATTTGAAACTGTCCAATTTTCAATACCCAATCAAGCATTGGCATCCATATTTTAGTGGTACCAGTAAGGGCCGTCATATAAAGTTTCCCAGGATTGCCTGAAATGCAAGTCTTAAATAAAAATAAAGAAAGTATTACTTAAAGCTATTAAATATGATCTATAACCTTTTGAATTTTCTGAATTATTCTGCATAATTATGTTGGAATCTTTTATCATATCCGTCCAGACTTTTTCACGAACTCCTTTTTCCAAGTAATTATTAATGTTTTGAATTTCAACAACAGTGAAAAACGATATTAGCTCATCTAATCCACATAAGCCAGGTGTACCCATTCCTTGTAATATTGTTGAAAAAACATTATGATTTAATACCTCATTGTGCGTTTTAATGTCATACCACGCAAGCGTATGTTCAATGTAAACAGTCGACCTTAAATGGGATTTTGAATATTAACCACAATATTCAATTGTAGAAAATGTTGAAAATTAAAGATGATTTACCGAGGATCAGTAATGCGAATAAGTTCTCGTGCAAATCGTCCTAAAAATGTATAGGAATTCGAATCTGTCACAGGTATGTGAATGAATTTTTCATCCTGTAAGCTTCTCCAATTTTTTCCAGGTATCCAAGTTAAACCTTTGCACTCTTCTTCCACAGCATTATTTATTATGTATGTAATCTGATTAAAAAATACCGCGATAACAATTTAATACAGTTTTTATAGGAGATTTAATAATTATTAATATACTTACCTCCTCATGCCATATTTTTAAGCTGTTAATGTTTATATAATCTTGAATGTATTGAAAAGATCTACGGTATCCGTCCATGACGGTTGCTAAATTTTGTAGCTTCTTTACTAGATCTGTCTGAAAGAAAATGAGCATATCAAAGTGTTTGAATACTTTACCATAGTTGTAGACAGATCACAATAGTAGTCAGAAATTTACCTTAGACTTTAAATCGAATACAAGACAATTGTGCAGCGCATGTGTCACTTTTTTGACGAGTTCCTGACGAATTCCGTCTTCGAAAAGACGATGGGAATCGACACGCAAAACACCTAAAGAAACACTTCTAAGTGACAGTTCACCTTTTGTGAAGACAGACACTGCGTACGTTAATTTTGCCATCTAAAATTATTAATAAAAAATTAAGTATATAAGAAAGTGAACAAGAAAAGCCATACGAAAAACCCACGTACCTGTAATCGGTCATCAAACTGTTCATAATCTTTCAATTTATCTTTACTTATCTTTGTTGGCATCTCTTTTAAAATGTTTGTTTCAAGATGAACTATTTCAGCAAGTAAACCAAATACAGTTTCAGGAATAATTTGCAGCACTCGCCTTGCGAAGCCCTCTAACTCTCTGCTGTAATGTTGAGACACTGATGACAGATCTGCACTGCGAGCTTGATTTATTCTCAGTAGTGGTGTTTCTAGTGCAGAAGCCATCTGAAATGTTATTTTTAAACATACAGCTATAAATAAGAAAATAAATAGTTATATGAAACAGAACAGCATGTTTTTATTTACTAGTACCTTTAAAAAGAGAGCTTTTAGTTTAATCACCATAGACGGATTCTCTTTTATACAACCTTGCATTACACTAACGAATGACTCCATAATGATCCAAGCGTAACAACAATCTGTCACTATATTTAATGTAATCATTATATCTTCACTTATGCTACCAGTAAGCAACATACTGCGTAAAATTACACGTGTGTCAGCCAAATATTGGGAGATATTTAAATTATTTTCCGGTTGATGAAATTCTGAAACAACAGTCATGACATTACTGAATACTATTGTAAATTAATTTCATTGAATGGTATAATTAGACTATTTTCTATGAATTTAAAATGACTTTCAACATTCTATTTATGTACCTTGAACTTCCTCAAGTGCTTGTAAAAGCTGTACGATTTTACGTCCCTCATCTTGTTGCAGAGTTTTCACATGTTCAGAAATTTCCTTGAACCATTTCTGAAGGCACAGATTTTTCTCAGTACCATCTAAAAATTTATTGCCACTAAACAGCTCGGCAAGATCCGAGATACGTTCCACGCATCTTTCCTTTTTCTTCATCCACTTTGATTCTTTGTCTTGTAATAGCTACAAATATTAAAAATTGAGTACTAAGTATTCCAGTCGCAGACTAAGTATAAATATTCAATGTTTTATATGTTTATCATATCGTACCTGCTTGTAAAATTGTTTAACATTTTGTTCAACTTGTGCTGTATTCAATAGTAGACGAAGACAGTTTTCAACTGAGTATTTACTCTCATGGATAACCAACTGGCGAATACTTTTGGATCGTTTGGATTCTTCAACCAACATATTTGGCGAGGCAGTATGCAGAAGAATCCAGTGTAACGTAACATTACAATTTCGAACCAATTTTACTATTGGACCTACTGCGTTCTCATCCAGATTAACGGAAAATTGTATCTTTTCAACTTCAAGAATTTGTGTCTGCAATTAAAGTGTTTCAGATTATGAAAAAAACTGTTTGCAATATTACGAATATTAAATAATCTTACATCCATCTTCTGTCCATAATTCTGTGCAGTTTTCTTTATATTTGAATTCTCCAGTGTACTATTGAGTGCTGTTCGTGCTGCTTTATAGGGCTGCCACCAATCAAATAAATTAATTACCACTCCCATATAAATGCTGCTGACCCAACAGTCAGGAAAAAATTTGACTACAATTTCACGCATTATTGCAGTTTGGGAATGTAATAAAGAAGGATTAAATGACAATATGATGACTAGCATCGAAGCTTGATTAGCTAACGCGATACTACGATGTTCTGGATATGGAAAAGCACGACTTTGGTTATACAATTCATCCGACCGCAATCGTCCTATAACTAGTTCTACTAATGAAGTATTCACTGGTACTCTCCTACAAGACAAAGTATAAAGTATTATGTCAGTGATACTGTTAATAAAACTGAAAATAAAAAGAATCTTTTAAATAATTAGGTATTCATTAGGTATTTACTTAAAATATTCTTCAGGATAATTTGCAGGTCTTTTCAATGACGATTTACTATATCCAGTTGAGCGAAGTAGCATACAGACATCATCTACTCTAGTTGATGAGGAACGCTGTGCATTATATCGATAATAAGATACCAATAAACGCTCACGAACGTACCCTTCAAAATGGCAATCCACTAGTAATAACATAATTCCATACAAGTATACAGCTTCGCACTGAAAATTAATTATGTTATTAAGACTAGGATAAGATTTATTATACATGATTAATAATCATGAACAAGGTATCTATACCATTAATTGTTTTCCTTCTTCATTGAACATAATAGATTCAAGAGACTGTTGTATATACAGGCCATCCTCCAATTCGTCTATGTAAGCATTAAGGTCCGTAATATACTTGTGAATACTTTCAAATGCCAAATAAAATCTTGTTAGTATGTTTGAGAAATTTTCACGCAGTTTTTCGTCAAGAGCTTGCAATGCCTGAAATATATATATATATATATATATA